CTTAAGTGTGTGTTTGGTTTTATATCTTTCTTCACGTGTCTTGGGAACTGGTGTTCTCCTTTTGGATAATGTGCATTTAGGTCAGGTTGAAAACCAGGCCCTAGCTAGTGTATGAGCTTAAAAAGACAGGAATAAAAGAATCCTAGAGCTGAGAGACCAGCTATCACAAAACAACTGCTAATTACTGTTGCAAATCCACCCATTCCAATATCTCATCACAAGCAATTTGTAATTCCAATTTGCTGATTAGCTTGTTCCTGCTTTTCCTTTTTTTTATTAAAGATTGTTTAGTTTCTCTGAACAGTAAGCAAGCAAGGGAGATCAAACATCTCTAAGATTATTTACTCTCAGTAGATGAGATTTTTCAGCAGTTTTCCTTCATCATTGTAGTGACCATACAATTATCATCCAAACAGAAAGCTTTTGATTATGAAAGAGAGAGAAAGCTAGGGAAAATAATTATATAGCAGGACTTTCCCAGATGAACCAGGTTGTATGATCCCTTTGCTCAATATTGATACTCAATCTTGTGTGTGAGAATGGGGACAGATCATGGATCCTTTGGTACTTGGTTGGCATTCCAAAATGTTTATTGAACTCTGGGCCACTCTTGCAATTTACACTGTGACAGCATCATCTGTCTCCTCCATCTGGCTGAGATGTTCTGAAATCTATTTTCATATCAATCCTAGCTGTGTAATTGTATACTTTTATGTTCATCCACATGCTCTCCTCTGTGTTTTCAGCCTCTAATTAATACTATTCCACATAATATGTAAAGCTCTTGTACAGAGCTTTTCCTCCTTCCTTGCATTTAATTATTTCCTCTTAAATTAGGCTCTTATCATTGCAATATTACATTTTTAAGTCCTATTTTGTACTAACTTTCCAGGGTTGCCTCACCATTCTAAAGTTTCCTAATGCCAACAGGAATAAGGCATGCAAAACTAAATGAGCCAATGAGTTATTGGATCTTTTTTATTCATTTCATGATTGTTTCTCACTCACTCCATCAGACATTCTAGGACATACTGCTAAGACCTACCGTCCTCCACACCCCACACTTCTCCAACAGACATTGACAAAACATGGACACCAACATTAATACAACGTAATGACTTCTGTGACATTACATATATAGTATTATTAAGGCATACACTGATTAAAACAAGAAAACAATCTGGGGTTTTTTTTTTAAGGGAAGAGTTAGAGAAATTTGCAGGTGGATGTTACTTGGAAATTTTAGAGCAACGTAATGAGTCATAATAATCTACTTTTGCAAAGTTCTCAAGTATAATTTATTGATGTTAACATAGTCCATGTGGCACTGGTCTCACACAAATCAGATTTATCTTTTAAAACACTTTAGACAAAAAACCAAATTAATCTCCACAAACAAAAAGAAAAACTCTATACTTGTTTATTCTTTTAAAACTTTAAATAATAAAATGTTCTATGTGTATAAAAGAGAATATAAAGGAGGATATATAACCTATATGTGTACCAGGTTTGTTCTTAGATGTAATTAACAAGTATTCCACTTAATTCTTTTTCTTTTTCTAAGGACTTGAATTAACTGTACTATCTATTATCTTGCCCTCAGAATGCAGAGATTCTTAGGAAGAATTTGATGTGATTAGGGGTGGGGAGAGGTACCCTAAAATACTTAGGTAAAACCAATATAGTTTATACAGTTCATTTTAATGTTCTTTATGGTTGAATATAATATCCATGAAAAGAACTAAGAAAGAGGGACTATACTTTCATTAAAACTTAATAAAAATGTCTTGGTCATCTAAGAAGTGTGAATTGAGAGGAAACTGGCAGGGATGTCAACCTAAAGAAAAATCTTTCTCATCCTCTGTTACAGTGTCTGAAATCTCATCTTTAGAATTGCTTTGTTGGATCATAAAATCTTTTAAATATTCAAGAAAATTTCATTGAACTGATGGCCCTCCACGAAGAATCATGTCTTATTTATTGTTAGCAGTTTCATGGCACATAATAGATATTCAAGAAAATGTCTGCTGAATAAATATTAAATAACAAAATTGAAAAGAACATTGGGAAGGATAATAGTTAAAAGCTCAATTAACACTTAAGTGATAGATTGCCACAAGTAATTAAACCATAATATCTTTGACCAAGGTGTGTAACCTTTATGCTGTATCACCCAGGCTCTTTGTATCTCTTTTTTTTTCCCAATTCTGGTTGCACTTGATTATATTGTTAGGGGTAGAGAACCTGGGTGTGAGTTCAGAGATCAGCAAAAAGAAAAGAGACATTTTAAAGAGACTCTTGCTATCCAAATTACTGTTATTTAATCTTCTAATTATGATCATAGTGCTTATGATGTACCAACCAATCTATGTCTTAAAAGCATGTTTACATTTTTTGTAAGAGCAAATATAAGCTTGTTGGTATGATTTACAGGCGAGAATCCCTAGAGAGAAATGTAATTTCCATTTATATATTATTTTTAGGAGAAAATTTCACTGTCTTAAAGTGAACTGCTTTATGACACAGTGTCCATGAATCGTACGTTTATTTTTTTATTCTTCCATCTCAGCCCCCTGAATTGATGAGATTATAGGCACAAGCCACTGCACCTGGCATCGCTTGTGTATTGCAAAGCAGAAAGAAGTTTGTAATCAAGATGGAAACTTCATTACAATCACCACCACCATCACTTTTATCATTTCCATTACAGTCTTGGTGCAATGGTGTTGAATTCTCTCTTCAATTTATCAAACAACATGTAATGGGTTAGTTACATGTTCCACAGCTCTGAGAAGCTCAGAGGTTAAATGCTGTCAGGTAGTAAGCAGTAGTAAGGTCTTCAGAGGGATCAACTATTTAAAGCATTAATCTAAATGCCCTATCACCACTAACTATCCTTCTCAAGTAAAAAAGTATTCCAAATTCCTTTCCTAAGCTTTGATTCAGCCTTCTCCCTTTGTAACTTTTTCTCCCTTTTAATCTTCTTCCCTTCCTTCATAATTCAGTCTCCTCTCTCCTCTTCTCCCTCACCACCCCCACCCCTCCTTTTTCCTCTTGCTAACCTGTAAGGAGATCAAGAGAAACCTTTCAGGTTTTGAACATAGAGATTAGCAAGAAAAAAAGGTGATGTGAATGGTGGAAGAGGTGATATGAATGGTGGAAGAGAAAGGGGAAGAGGTAAGGTAAGACTAACATTTTAATTTGCTTTAACTTTCTCCAATTCCTCTATAACATAAATGCAGGTTTGCAAGATTTTGTAGGTGAACACATATGTAGAAGTAAAAATAAAGTTATAATGTGAATAGTGCAGAGGAGGGAGTGATGACATATCTTAATCTGAAAAACAAAAACGACATCAAAACACAGAACAAACAACTCCGCCCATGTTCCCAACTTATATCATTTTTTAGTATTTAAAAAAAAAATCCTGGCTGGGCACAGTGGCTCTTTCTTGCCTGTAATTCCAGCACTTTGGGAGGCCGAGGTGGGTGGATCACGAGGTCAAGAGATTGAAAACATCCTGGTCAACATGGTGAAACCCTGTCTCTATTAAAAATACAAAATTTAGCTGGATTTGGTGGCTCATGCCTGTAGTCCCAGCTACTCAGTAGGCTGAGGCAGGAGGATTGCTTTAACACTGGAGGCAGAGGTTGTGGTGAGCCGAGATCGTGCCATTGCACTCCAGCCTGGGCAACAAGAGCGAAATTCTGTCTCAAAATAAAATAAAATCCTGTTCTCTCTCTTTCTGCTGTAATGTGTGTGCATGTTTGGCCTCCATGTTAATGAGGTCCTGCAGAGAGATGGGTGATGCACAATGTGGAATAAAATCAACTTTGTAAACTTGTTCCTCATTCCATAATGGCATCCCCTTTGGTATTTACAGAAGATTTCTCCTTGTGTGCTTTACACAATAAGTATGACTGTGAGTTTCCACTCATCAATCTTACATTTGGCTATGGGTTGACATTTTCAAAAGCCCACTCTAAGAAAATGAAAAATATATATCATATATATATTTAAAAATTTTTAAAAAGATTAGATTGTAAACGCCATAGAAGCTACTTAAGAAAACGTGGAATATTAGGAAAAAAAAGAAGTGAAAAATCTGATCATAGTTTCACTTTTAATTTATTGTGTATCCTTCCGTGCCAAGGTTTTTTGTTGTTGATTGAATATTGGCTGCCACTCATCCCCGTTCCCCGTTTTTAAAAGGAAGGAAATTTATGTAGAAAGGGAGGTATCAATTAATAGGTTGGATTTCTAAAGGACAGAAGAGTCATACTGGCCTTTGGGGTAAAACCAACCATATTAACTGACCTTTGTTCAGCCCTGTTGTTGTGAGATATGGGAAGTATTCCTTTGAAGGGGATGAGGGCCTCCTTCATTGTAAAGACAGTTTAAAGATAAATTACTCAATAGGTACATGTTTGGAATTCAATATGTCTTCTAGAGCTACTGGCGGCAGCTTCTTTTGTTGACATGGGCTGCAATAGTTGCTGAAACCCGCTAGTCAGAAGCAAGGGGTGGGGAGGCGCCATTTGCTAAACCGGAACTGGTTAAAATCTCAGGGTGGAGACCATTACCAGTCAGCAAGGGCTTGTCAAGTGCATACAGTTCCTGCTCCTGGTGTCTACTTTGGGGAGCACAGAGTGGACGTTTGTCTGCCATTCCACTGGCAGTAGGATCAGCAGCTGCTGGTGAGCAAAGTAGCAGTGGGTCACTGGAGTGGCGCGCGCCGGGGCCGCAGGCTAGGTGGAGAGGTCAGCGGCGAACCCAGCTCCATGGCCTAGTCTCGTCAGGCCGCGCGCGAACCTTGCCGGCCTCCGTTCTCTTCCGCTTGTCTCAGGTGCAGCGCAGATCCCTCCGCCGTAGCGTGCGCTCCGGGTAGCACTGCGATCAGCTTTTCGGCAATACCCGGATGGAAGTGTAATGGCCGCCATCAGGGACTCGCAGGCAATGGGGACTGCGACAGGTACTCCCCGTGAGCGGGACTGCCCAGACCTTTTAGGATGCCGGGACTTCTAGCGGGCCAGCCAGCAGGCAAAGGACGAGTTTTTGGGGCGTCAGGGTTCCCCAGACAGGTCCAGGAATCCGCCTCATGTGAGAGGAAGCGCCAGTTAAATAGTCCCGGCCATTCAGCGCTTCCGCCTAACTTGCCGCAAAGTTTTCCTAGAGAAGTCGGGGTTTTTCTAGCCCAGCGCTTTTGCAGCCTGCTAGAGCCGACGCGTACTTTCTTAACCTGGGCTTGCTTTACGTCCGGTTTTTCGAACTTTACACTCGCCTACATTCTAGGAGCTGGGCGGGAGTGCGAGACGGTGTGCCTCCGCGCTCCCCGCGGGGCAGCGGAACCCCGGAGGAAGGGGCGGATCGGGCGCGGTGTTTGGGGCGAAGCTGGGCGCGCGGCGCTCGAAGCACTCAGTCGGCGGGTTTCGTGGTTGGTGGAGACAGCAAGGGCACCCCGCAGACCGCACCCCTCGAGCTATAGGTTCGCAGGCCCTACTCGACGGCGACCCTATTGCGGGCCCAGCCTATGGTCATTGGGGGCCATTTCTTGCAGAGATGCCCAGCTCCCTGACGCGCTCGCTCTTCTCCAGAGTTGGCCAAAGGTGCTCTTTCCCCGCAGACCCCAACCACACCCAGTGGCAGATGGGTTTCTTTGTAACTGGCTTTCTCACATGTAGGGTCCATTTTGACTCTTTTCTTTACATGGTGTCCTCTTTGTCAAGTAGAGTCTCTTCCTAGGTGGCTGTGGTAATTGAAAAGCATATAGAGTGAATGTATATAAAGAAAAATGTTTTAATTCTTAAGTGGACCGATCAAACAGATGTAGCTTTAAAGTTCAGGATACAACAGTTAAGACTCAGTTTTCCTTTTAGGTTTAAATTTGAGAGCAAGTAGTGTATGTGAGCTGCTTTAGTGCAAACATTGTTGAGTATGTTGTCAAACGTCTAAAAAAAACACTAAAAAAAAGTCAGTGTTCAAGGAATTCATAAGAATGTTGAAGTTTGTACAGTTGTCATTGTCACGGTGATAAAACATGAAGACACCAAACCGCCAGGATAGGAATTCTATTAATTGGAAAGCGTATATTAGATCTAGTTGCTGGTGCTTTTTAAATTGCTTTTTCTGCAGCAAAGGGTCTGATTTAAGTGTATGCTAAGGTTGGTATCCTCAGGTTTAATAGATATAAAACATTTAAATTGATTCAGTGAAATTTCCTAACATTTTCAGAGTTTAACTGAAAATTTATAATGCATTCACTATCTTTCAGCAAAATTATCTTTTCTGAAATTTTTAGAGACATTGCGCTCTGTTAACACTTTGAGGGTGTTGGGATTTCCTGGGGAAGGTAAGCATAGTGGACAATGTTGATTTTTGCTATAAAAACTATAAATTAGATCATCCCCAGATATAGAAAATGGGGGAGGAGAATCTTTATTACACAACCGAATGTTTCCTTCTTGTTGCAGGGAAAGTAAGTATTATTACCAATTAAAATTATTTATATCTGGTTTTATGGAAGGACAAGGGACAACCACCACAATGAACACCCAGTATATGCATTGATAGTGTATGAACTTTTAAATGCTTCAATTTTTGCCATGGTCACGCTTCAGATTCTGTTGTTTTCTCCCTGGTAATAGTATGCTGTAATCCCAGAAGTTTATATATCTTGAAACATTACAGAGGGAATATACTTTAGCCTAAATCTATAACTTTGAGATATACCTTAAATGCCCTTTAAGTGTATTTTTATTGTTTACCTTTCTGTTTGTAGTTTTTTAGAATTGTTCTTATTGAAACATTTTGTAACTGCATACTTTATAGCACTTAATACAACTTTTTTTTTTTAAATGGTAGGAGACTTGAATCTTGCCCATATTCCTTCAGGTATGCTACTGAAGGTTTTGTTGCATAGCGCTATGAGCAGAAGAAAAGGGTTTTGACCTAGTGTTTAAATTTTTATTTATTATCTGGTCCCAGGTGTGTAGGCTGTATTTCAGTTCTATATGGGTATTGGCTTCTCATGGTGAGTAATTTTCATAGGATGTTAGATAACCAGAAATGAGCATTAAAGGTTAGTATTGTGGTGGTAGGATAACTGAGTTGGAATCAGATCCAGATACTAGTTCCAGTTTTGTGACGTTGGGCAAATCTCATTTTCTTTTTCTTGTAATAAATGAAGATATTGAGTTAGATTGATTCTCAGCTTTAGGATGTGAGTTTTGCAAATTTATGACATGTTATCACTGGGCATCAATAATATATGCTTAAGTGTAGAGAGGTTTTCTTAGTTTTTTTTTTTTAATATTTTTTTATACACCTACATTACATGTTTAGTGTAATTAAACAGATTTTACAATCAAAGCTTTAAAATTTTGGTCTTCATTTCCAGATACCATCTCTTCTTTTGATCACTGTTCCTGATTGTGACATTGTGGAAGTGTTAAATTGTGTGCCTTTGGTTCCTGAAGAAAGAGGTATGGTAAAGATTGAAATACTGGAGTATGTAGTCTATTTAAGTAGGAAGTTAATACATTTTAATATTGGACTAAATAAAGTAAAATACAGGTTAAGTATTCCAAATCAGAAAATCCAAAATGCAAAATTTTTTGAGTTCTGACATGAAGCTCAAAGGAAATGCTCTTTGGAACATTCTGGATTTTGAATTTTTGGATTTGAGATGCTCAACTGGTATAATGCAAATATTCTAAAATCCTAAAAAAAAAGAGAGGACTATGAAACATTCCTGGTCCGAAGAATTTCAAACAAGAGACACTCAGTCTGTAGTTTACATATACATGAATTTTCATAAGTTATAGTTTTTTTTTGGCCAAAATAAAATACTTAAACATGGGTTTTCATTTTAATCTAAGCAAAAAAAGTAATTTTTGGTTTCATAGTTTATTACTTAACATTTTATTAGAGATCCAAAGATGACTTTAACTATATCATCCTTCTAAATAGAAAGGTGGCATCAAAGGCTTCTGGGTAATGAACATTGGTGATAAAGATGGTAGATAGATGTCTCAAAGCTGTGTGAATGGCCAGAAGAGTGTTGTTTTGGTCTAAGTGCAAAGCAATGTACCTAAAGAAAAATTATCTGATACATGTTTACATTATGACTAATTGCATCTTCATTATGAATCAGGAAAGGCACTTGGGAATCACTATAGTGTTATGATTGGTTTCTCGAAGACAATCATGTGAATAGCTTGGTGTAGACAAAAAAGAAGGAAAAATATGCCAAAAAATCTATGGTATTATATGGAAAGCTTTGGAAATGTAGTGGAAAATATTGTACCCGTGTAAAAAACATGTTTTTTCTACCCTGGAAACACAGATATCTCTTTACTGTGTGTTGGATAGGTCCTGGAATCTTTGAAATTCTAAGATTCTTGGCTACTACAGTATCATAAAATTCCTTTAAATGCAGTAAGTATACACGTAATTATAACCCTAAATTGGGAATAAGATTGTGTATGTAACTGCTAAAATAGCCGAAGTAGACTATATCACCTTACATTATTGCTTTAGTTATCATAACCATGTTCTTCTCTAAACTTCACCAGCAAGTGGCTTTCTGCAGGGCCATTTTTTACAAAGGCATGAATTTTAATTTTGTCAGAAAATAATGTGCAGAGAGTAGACAGCAATAGAACTAAGTTAGGTACCACATTAGCATTTATGTCATTAAGTAACTCTGTCCTGTATACCATGAGAGTCACATGGGTACTGTGTTATTCCTGAAGAGATGAAGTAATGCTGAATGCAAAGAATTTTCCTAAAGTTTGAGTATCCCAAATCTGAAAACCTGAAATCCAAAATACTCCAAAATCTGAAACTTTTTGAGTGCTGACATGATGCTCAAAGGAAATGATCATTGGAACATTTTGGATTTCGGATATTCAGCCAGTAAGTATAATGCAAGTATTCCAAAATCCACAAAAACCTGAAATCTGAAACCCTTCTAGTTCCAAGCTTTTTTTTTTTTTTCGAGATGTCCTACCCAGGCTGGAGTGCAATGGCACGATCTTCTCTGCTCACTGCAACCTCTGTCTCTTGGGTGCAAGCAATTCTTCTGTCTCAGTCTCCTGAGTAGCTGGGACTGCAGGCACATGCCACCATGCCTGGCTAATTTATTTTTGTACTTTTAGTAGAGAAGAGGCTTCACCATATTGGCCAGGCTGGTCTCGAACTCCTGACCTCAAGTGATCTGCCTGCCTCAGCCTCCCAAAGTGCTGGGATTACAGGCGTGAGCCACTGTGCCCGGCCTACTTCCAAGCATTTTGGTTAAGGAATATTCAGTCTCTACTATTTGATCCAAACTACTCAGGAAGAGTAATGAAGAATGAAAGCTTTAGTTGCATTGAAGTAAATAAGAGACTGCTATATGATGATTGACCAAAACGATTTGTATTAATTTATATTGAAAAGTTGTGAGCAAAGTCTGACTAAAAATATAAAGTTATAACTGCATGAAACAAGTGTCCGAATATTAGAATGAAGGTACATGATACGAAGTTTCAGAAAATTAAGTGGGCTTCACATGGGTCTCATTTCATGAAAAAAGTCAAATAATTTCAGAATGTAGTATGCTCATCATCAATTCCTCATTCAAATTGCTTTGTTGAAGGTCGTGGTTGGTAAAAGACAGATCATATATTGTTTTTTTGCCAACTCAGTAGCTCTTCATTTAGGGAACCACCCCTCCCCTATTCTGAGTGGTTTATGGGCTGTCAGTCAGTCTTACTGTCTTATAACCTGAGCCTGGTCATTCCTATTGCAACAGTGAATGCTGTTATTCATGCAGAGCCAGTCAGAATCCATTTTTGAAATTGATGTGTGAATACTAGGAGAAAGATACTACCTTTTCTCTGAAATTATTAATCTGGAAGATGCTGGTGACATTCTTTACCACGTGTATGAAAATCCCATCTGTATAGGGGGAGAAAGTGAAGCCATAAGGAAATGGGAGATGGATGGTGGTAGTGCCAGTATCAATCTCAGGGAAGATGGTAAGTGGTACCTAGTTTTCTTTTGATTTTGTGAGCTACCCTGGTGTCCTCCTCAGTCCTTGGGCCAAAATTCTATGTATAAATTGGTTTGAATTGTATTGCAATAGGAAGTGTTCTAATAAATATATGGCCTTTATGAATTGAGGTCTGAAGCTTCAGATTGATCATTCACGTCCTTCTGTAGTTTGCCACTTTACTATACCTTATAAAAGTTTCCCTTTATTTACTCATCACTTATGCATGCATTCAATCCTCTTTCATTCAACCTACAAACATTTATTGAGTGTCACTTATGTGTGAGTATGTGCAACTGCCTGGATAGGCAAGGATTTTATGTACTAGACTGAGTGGATGGTGGACATACAGCACATTTTTATTTGTTTCGGTTGCACAGATTAACAAACGTGTTGAGAATAATGACTTGGTGCTTGGCATCTAAGTAATATGTAAGAATAAAAATACACAAAATATACATTCTCCACTTTAAATATACAAAATATTGATCGGCCATTATTAATACCCATTTTTAGAATAAAGCAACATTCCCGTTCTCTCTCCCTCTTTTTCTTCCTCTTTCTTCCTCTCCTTCACTCCTTTTTTTCTCTTTCTTCTTTCCTTTCTTAAAAAAAAAAAAAGGAAATGTAACAAATGTCTTTACAATTAATAAAAACAAGGAAAGAATAAATTTGGAATTAGATTGCCATTATGGTGAATGGATATTTGGTTCTAACATTTTCCACAGTCTTGTTTTTTCCTAAGACTCTTTACTAAAATCATTGAGACATCATATATTTTTCAAGAGTGTAACACGTGTGTCATTGTGTTGATGAATAGCATCTTCTGAGTGCATGTAACTACTCCTATTGAAATTTGTGTTTCCTGTCTTAAGAAAACTAGGCAAAGGCAACAGGGAGAGAAATTGACATAAACTTCTTGGACAGAGAGACAACAACAACAACAACAAAAGAATAAGAAGAATTCCTTGTCTTGGAAGTATTTCTAGTTAAGGAATTCAGATTAATATACAAGAAAAAACAGATAAAAGAATGCACAATTGTATTTTAAGTCAATTTTGGTGGGAAGGAAATGAGCAAGTTGGACCATTTAGGAAGGTTTCCTGAAGAACATACAACTTTAAATGTGTTTCTACTTATGAATGTGGCTTTGATAGGTAAAGAGAATAATTGAAGAAAGGGTAGAGTTGAAAATGATTATAGGTTGATCCAGGTTGGAGTAGAGATTAGTTTCACTGTAACAATACGTGTTTTTTGGGAATGAGGTAGTGGAAAATAAGGTGACTGTTTTAGGTAAATCTATGTATGAGGCACTTGGAAAGCCAAGCAGAAATTTTGGCCCTTTCTACTAAGATGGAGATTTCTTTGAAAAAATGTGTATGCTTCTTTTAATATAAAATCATTTTTGTATGCTAAAATATAACTTAAGTATAATGAAAAATTGTAAAATTACTCATTCTGGAAGGTTTTTTTTTTTTTTTTGAGATGGAGTTTCGCTCTTGTTACCCAGGCTGGAGTGCAATGGCGGGATCTCGGCTCACCACAGCCTCCGCCTCCTGGGTTCAGGCAATTCTCCTGCCTCAGCCTCCTGAGTAGCTGGGATTACAGGCACGCGCCACCGTGCCCAGCTAATTTTTTGTATTCTTAGTAGAGACGGTGTTTCACCATGTTGACCAGGATGGTCTCGACGTCTTGACCTCGTGATCCACCCGCCTCGGCCTCCCAAAGTGTTGGGATTACAGGCTTGAGCCACCGCGCCCGTCCTGTCTTGAAGGTTTTTTAGAAAAATAGCTTTAACTTGGAATTCCATTTTATATATTTGTATATATAAACCTTTCTCAAAAAGGGAAAGGTAAGAAGAGATGATATATATATTTATTTATTTATTCTTACTTTTCCCTTTTTGAGAGTTAGCTTAGTAATAGTCAAAGCCATACCCTTTTCCTTAGAGATAAAGCCAGTTTGAAGCTAATGTAGCAATAGATATAAAAACATTTAAAGGCTGGGGAGGTGGCTCATGCCTGTAATCCCAGCACATTGAGCAGCCGAGGGGGGAAGATTGCTGGAGCCCAGGAGTTGGAGACCAGCCAGGGCAACATAGTGAGACCTCATCTCTATTTTAAAAAAAATTATTTAAAGATAAGGAACAAAATTAAAATGATGCTCGATTACTCATAGAATGTTCACTTTGGGCTCCAGAAACTAGGAATGATACAGAATTTATTATTGTGTCATTCTCTCATTCAGTTGCTGTAGTTTTTTATGTCCTTGCCTGCCTTCTTTCCTGATAGCCTCACATCTGACACTCAACTCAGAGAGTAAAAGTTGGATTATTCCATTATACGAAGGTTGGCAAGCTTTTGCTGTAAATGGCCAGATAGTAAATATTTTAGGCTTTCTGGGCCATATGGTTTCTGGTGCAGCTATTGTAACACAAAAGAAGCCATAGGCAATATGTAAATGAGTGAGTGTGGCTGTGTTCCAATGAAACTTAATTTACAAAAACAGGCAGCAGGCCAGATTTGGCCCACAGGCTGTCATTTCATTCCACAAACTCTCTCAGTCACATCTGCGCACCTGCTAGCATCTTTATTTATCCTCCCCTCTAGTTACTATAGATGGATCATCTTTGCTTCTTTTTAAGTTCACCACTTCAACTTGTTCCCTAGATTTCATCCCTTCTAACCTGAAGGGCATCACTGCTGCATTTCTTTCTTATTCTCCATCATCAATTTTTTCATTTTTACTAGATCGTTTTAATAAGCATGCAGTCATACTGTAATTTCGTCCACCTTTAAATAACAAAAAAATAAAATTAAACAAAACAACTCCTTTATGGTAAAACTCCTTGAAAGAGTTGTCTGCTTTACATTACTACTTCCTGTCTTTCCATTTTGCTTTACATCCAAGCTCGTCAGCCTTTTTCCTCTATACCTCCACTGAAACTGTTCTAATCCATGTTACCAGTGATCTTCACATTAAGAAACCTTTTGGGAATGTTTTCTTCATTTTGCTTTGAGGATACTGCAGTCTCGATTTACCTTCAGTCTTATTGGTCATTTCTTTTCTGTCTCACTTGCTGGTTCTTTTTCATCTCTTTCTGTTAAATGTTATAGAATCTTGAGGCTCAGGCCTTGTATTGCTCTTTTTATTTATTCCTCCTGGTGATTTCATCCTGCTCTAAGTACTTAAAAGTACATATATACATATACACACACTAATAACTCCCAAATTTCATCTTCCACCTGCCCCTCTATATTCTGTATCCAGCTACACAGTCCACATTTTCTCTTGGATGTCAAATAGACATCTCAAATGTTACATGTCTAAAACGTAACTTTTGATATACTTTCATACTACTTTCAAATCTTGTATATCTTGGTAAATAGCAAGTCCTTTCCAGTGCTGTCAGAACTTCTGGAGTTATCCTTGACATGTCTCTTTCTTTCAGAGAAAGCATGATGGGATATCTTGTAGGTGCTAGCTTCAAGATATATTCAGTCTGACCATGCCTCATTGTCAGCCAAACCACCATCAACTCTTACTTGGATAATTGCACTGTGTTCTTTGTCTTTATTCTTAATCCCTTCTGAATACTCTGTTCCTAGCATAACAGCCCAAGTGATAAAAGTAATTCAGCTCATGGTAATCGTCTGCCCACAGTGTTCCAGTAGCTTCCTCTCTGATTCAGAATAAGACTAAAGCCTTTACAGTTTCTATCAGTCCCTGTTTCTGTCCCCCTGTTACTTCTCTGACCTCATCTTCGAGCTTTCCCTCTAATGCTTTCTGTTGTGGTCATACTGATTTTCATGCAGCTCCCCGAATGTGTTAGGCACATTGCACATTCAGGGTCATGGCACTTACTGTTTTCTTTTCTTGGATCGTTGGTTTCCTCAGCTCCTTAACATCTTGACTCTAATAAGACCTTTTCAAGTGAGAGTTCCCTGATTTCATATTTAAAATTAGAGCACTCTGGTTCTGCCTTGCCATCTTTGCTTTATTTTTCTCTGTAGCAGCACTTGTTGCCTTTGAATATACTTTATAATTTACTTACCTTGTTTATTACTTAAATAATCAATAAATTGTTACCTCCGTGAGGGGAGGGATTTTTGTCTGTTTTATTCACTGCCATATTCCCAATGCTTAGAACATAGATGTGGTGCTAGCTACAAGCCCGGTACCATCACACATGCTGGTGATGTAGTCAAGAACATTACAGATGCAGTTCTCATCCTTATGCAGCTTATTCATTCCGGTGGTAGAGACAGATAGAAAATAAATTGACAAATAAAATACTGCCAGAGATGTAAGCGTTACAAAAAAGAAATACAAAAGGATAAAGTGACGAATATTTTTTTTTTGAGGAAGGGATGCTTTATAGGGAAGGGCCCTTCTGAGGTGGTGACATTTGAGCTGAGACCTAAAAGATGAGAAGGATCTAGCCTTTTGAAGAATGGGAGAAAGAACATTTCAAGCAGGGAATAGCAGGTGCAAAGGCCTGAGATAGGAATATAGGAAGAGTATTTGAGGAGCTGAGAATCTATGGCAGCTTGTTTTGGAGTATGTGTACAGTGGGGAGAGTGGTGTGAAATGAAGTTGAAGAAAAAGGCCCAAGACCAGATACTGCTGCTTTTTGCAGGCCTTTGTAAAGAGATTAAATTTTACTTTAAGTGCCTTGATACTATAGACTGAATGTTTATGTCCTCCTATTGAAACATATTCTCCAATGTGATGGCATTTGGAAGTGGGGCCTTTGAGAGGTGATTAGGTCATGAGGGAAGAGCCCTTATCAATGGAATTTGTACCCTTATAAAAGAGACCCCAGAGAGCTCTGTGAGAAGATGGCTATCTGTGAATCAGGAAGTAGGCCCTCACCAGACACCAAATCTGCTAGTGCCTTGATCTTAGACTTCCCAGCCTTCAAGATTGTGAGAAATAAGTCACCCAGTCTGTGGCACTCTGTTACAGCAGCCAGAGCAGAGTAAGACACTTGGGAGACCACCAAAGAGCTTTAAGCAGGGGAGCATTGTAATTTATTTTAAGAAGAACATTTGCTTCTGTGTGGAGAATGGACTCAGAGGAGGGTGGTGGACAAGATGGAAGCATGGATGCCAGTTAGGAAGACTGTTTTCATTCATGTTAGAAATGATGGTGGCCTGGACTAAGATTATGACAGTGGATAGGAAGAGAGGAGGGGAATACAAGATCTGTTTTTGAGATAGAATTGACTAGGCTTGCTTATGGATTAATGTGGGGAGTAAAGGATGGAGGAATTAAGGATGAGTCTTGAGTTTTGGGTTGTGAAACTGTATGGATTTTAGTGCCATATACTAAGATGGGGACATCCAGGGAGTGGAATTTCTAATCATGGAGGCAGGTGCTGTATAGACCTAGAGGAAAATTAAACCATTTATATTATTTTGTGAAGTTGAGCGAGAATGAATCACATGATAATGTGTTCTTCCAGTCAAATAGCAGTACATCTTTTGATTTTCTTCCCTCCCCTCATGTATTACAAATCAAAATCTTACTCTAAATCACTGTGATAGCAAAATGACAAGCAGAAGAAGAAAGGAGCAAGAGATGAAAATAATCCTTTTCCTATACTGAATTCAGTGGTCCTTATGTCACTTTGGACAAATTCGTTCAGATTTTTCTAATTCCTACCTATTAAAAAGGTGATTTCTGCCAGGCTGTGGTGGCTCACATCAGTAGTCTCAGCACCTTTGGAGGCTAAGGCAGGCAGATTGCTTGAGACCAGGAGTTGGAGACCAGCCTGGGCAACGTGGTGAAACCCCATCTCTCTGGAAAAAAAGGAAAAGAAAAATTAGTTGAGCATAGTGGTGCACATCTGTAGTCCCAGCTACTTGGGAGACTGAGGTGGAAGAACCAGTTAAGCCCAGGAGAGCTAGGCTGTAGTGAGCCGTGATTATGACATTGCATTCTAGCCTGGGTGACAGAGTAAGACCCAGTCTCAAAAAAAAGTTGGTGGTGGGGGGGTTGTATGAGTAATTTCTGACTCTGTGTGTTTTAAACCAAGTTCCAAATTATTGCAGCAAAAAAGTTTACATGCTCTTTGAAGTTTGCTATAAAGTGATTTAATCTAAAATCATAGTCATATATTTGATTTGAAAATAAGAGAATTAATCACTTAAAAATATATGGGTTAGGTACCTGTGTACCCAGTCTTCTGGTTTTTGTGAGGGGAAAAATGAGAAATACTAAGTAATACCTGCATTTAGGAAGCTTATAAATTATCTGGGGAGGTAAAACTTAAATAATGAAATTATATATTAGTATAAAGCAGTTTGTAAGAAATGTTGATCACTGGCTACTTTTTAAGTGGCTATTCAGAGAAAGGAGAGATTTAGTATGTATTGTAGAAGGTTACATGTCCCTGTAGGAAGCAGAATTTGAAAGGAAGTTTGAATAGTATTGAATTTAGATAGAGGGAAGGCGATGCTATGCCTGGTGACCGATAACTATATGAACAGACAAAGGTAAATAAAGATGTATGTGTGGGTAAGCATCTTTTATATTGGGCACAGTGAGATGTCATAGTTTTAGGGAATAATGAAGAATAAGGTTTACCTGAACCAAGAACCACTTCTGTATTTTAATTTTAAACTCCTTTGTAATGGTATACCAGTGTCAATGTGACTCACATATATACTAGAATTTTGAACATTTCTAGATGTGTATTTAATTACTTTTGCATATTTAACCCTACATTTCTTTTTTCTTTTGTCTTCTTTTTTTTTTTTTTATTGTACGTTAGGTTCTGGTGTACATGTGCAGATCATGCAGGATTGTTGCATAGGTACATACGTAGCAAGGTGGTTTGCTGCCTGCATCCCCCCCCATCACCTATATCTGGTATTTCTCCCCATGTTATCCCTCCCAACCCGCCCCACTCCCGACTGTCCCTCCCCAGCCCCCACCAACTGACTGTAGTGTGTGATGCTCCCCTCCCTGTGTCCATGTGTTCTCATTGTTGAACATCTGCCTGTGAGTGAGAACATGTGGTATTTGGTTTTCTGTTTTTGTGTTAGTTTGCCGAGAATGATGGTTTCCTGATTCATCCATATCCCCGTGAAGGACACAAAATCATTGAGTTTTATGGCTGCATAGCATTCCATGATGTATATGTGCCACATTTTCTTTATCTAATCATCATCATCTTTTTTTTTTTTTTTTTTGAGACGTGGTCTAGCTCTGTCGGCCTGGAGTGCAGTGGTGCTGTAATCTTGGCTTGCTGCAACCTCTGCCACCCAGGCTTCAGTGATCCTGCCACCTCAGCCTCCTGAGTACCTGAGTAGCTGAGAATACAGGCACATGCCACCACACTGGCCTAATTTTTAAAATACTTTTATAGAGATGAGGTCTCACTGTATTGCTCAGGCTGGTCTTGAACTCCTGGGCTCAAGCAAAATTCTCCTGCCTGTGCCTCCCAAAGTGCTGGGATTATAGGCCTGAGCCACCGTGCCCAGCCTACATTTATTTATCTGTGTTTAAGTTGCTCATTAGACCACAGTGATTTGGAGGGAGCTTGCTTTGGTTATGTATGTAAATTTGTATAAAATCATTTCTTTCACTCTCAAAACATGATTGGCATCAGTGTCTCAGGTAAACTTTTTGAAAACCGAAAACAGCTACAAAAACAAAGTAAGCCCAAAATGTTTGTTTCAAGTCATGAACAGATAATAGTTATTTTGAGGGCACTAAAATAGATTCTGCTTTGAAAGTAATATTCTTAGGGTTTTGTATGTGTGTGTTTCTAGATTCCTTTTAGCAGAATCTTATATTTTTCAGTAAGCTTTTACTGGTGCATGCTGCTTTGGTTTGATCTCATGTATTCATATGACTGTTTTGCCTGTATTTATCTACAGAAAAAGGATCGAATGACTTAAGGAATGCAGTAGTTTTCTATGTGATGGGACAAGTTACAGAGCTACATGCTGAATCACGAATATAGCTAAGCTAAAACTAGAGATTTTTAGTTTTCATTGGCATTTAAGCAACTTGAATGTAGCTAAGTAGCACATGGATTCTTCCTTTTTAGACTCTGTAGAATGTCTTTGACTTTTAATCTATTATAGAAAGCAAATATAACTGTCCAAGAATGGTGCCTTTTGATAAACTCTTCAAATCTTCCTTATCTTTGGCATTTTACTTTGGGAAATATCTTTTAAAAATCTCTCTGGACCCATTGTGTGATTTCTGTCTCTCTCTTTTTTTTTTTTAAATTGAAACAGAGTCTTGCTCTGTTGCCCAGGCTGGAGTGCAGTGGTACGATATCGGCTCACTCCCAACCTCTGCCACCTGGGTGTAAGTGATTCTCGTGCCTCAGCTTCCCAAGAAGGTGAGATTACAGATGCCTATCACCATGCCTGGCTAATTTTCTGTATTTTAATAGAGATGGAGTTTCGCCATGTTGGCCAGGCTGTTCTTGAACTCCTGACCTCAGGTAATCCACCCACTTTGGCCTCACAAAGTGCTAGGATTACAGGGCTGAGCCACCGTGCCCAGCTGTGATTTCTAACCTATCTATGTTAACATTACCAGTTCCCTAGCTCCTCAGTTTTTATTTGGATTATCACTCTAGTCATCTAAATTTCTCATTTCTGTGTTTACTTTCTCCAGTTTATTTCTAAAGTCCTGCTTTTATAACTTTTTTCTGTTCATAAATAAACAGTGGCTTCTGTTTACCTATCATTTCCAGTTCAGATGTGTCCTCTATAGTCTGTTCTTACTTAACCTCCCTGTTATGCATTCTTTTTTTGGTCTAGACCCTGTGATACCTTGGGAGAAAAATAATTTTCTTCCATTGTTTCTTTATTCTATTTTTCTGGTTTAGATTGCCTTTGCTCCTTTCTTATGTGTTTAAGTCTTGCTACTCTTCAAAGGGTCCTCAAAAAACCTACCTTTCTATGATGACTGTGTTTACTGATTTGTCAGCTTTCTGTATTAAGTAAGAAGCCTTTGATTACAAGCAGTAGAAACTAATGTGAGCTAGCTTATGTTGAAAGGGGGAATTATTTTAAGGATACAGGATTTCCTGGAATTCAAGAATGGGAATATATAGGCAGGCCTCATATTGGTTTCAGTCAGGGTTCTTAGGAGAGCTGATGATTTTTCTCCCATTGATTTGGTTTTCTGGTTTGTTTTTTGCTATGCCATGCTGTCATTCCTTAAAAAAAAAATTAAACTATTAGTAGTTTGGAGGATATCCTTCTGCAGATTTGTCTGTGCTTATACATACATATACTTATAAGATCTTTCCTCTTAGCATCAAAATGATATGAGGATCATTTCTCCTAATTTAAAGTGTATTCTATGCCTCAGTCTGTAGCTTTCTTTGTTGTTGTTTCTTTGGACAGGGTCTTGCTCTGTTGCCCAGGCTGGAGTGTAGTGTCTTAATCACGATTCACTGCAGCCTTCACCTCCCAAGCTCAAGCAGTGCTTCCACCTCAGCCTCCTGAGTAGCTGGGACTACAGGGGCATGCCACCACACCCAGCTGATTTTTGTATTTTTTGTAGAAAGGGGATTTCGCCATGTTTCCCAGGCTAGTCTTGAACTCCTGAGCTGAAGCCATCCACCTACCTTGGCTTCCTGAAGTGCTGGGATTATAGGCATGAGCCACCATGCTCAGCCTTCAACTTCCTTTTTAAACTTTTTAAAAAAAAATACTTACAGTAAATACTGTTCCAGGTCAATTCATATACATACTTCTTTCTGTATAATTTCATGTGGATGTTATATAATTTATAATTTTCTTCTTCCTGGACATTTAAGTGATACTAATATATACATATATATTTATAGTTATGCTTTTTTTGGTAGGATTTTTTTTTTTAATTGAGGTTTGTGTAAGTTTACAAGATTGATTATTTTCAAGGAAAATATAAATTACCAAAGTGACTCAAGCAGTAGAAACTCTAAAGAGCCCAGAAACCATAGAAGAACTTGCAAAGATTGTAAGGTCTAAAAATCTGAAGGGTCACTAGGTGCATATGGTGTTCTTGTTGCAGTCTGTACAATTTTAAAGAGATAACAAAAATTAAACTATTGTTAGTAGTCTGGTTAGTGAACTACTTCAGAGCAGATGAAATAGTGGAAAGTATTCCAATCCATTTTATAAATCCTCTGTAATACCAGTAACCAAAACTGTTAAAGATAGCAAAAACCAAAAAAAAACCTAAATAACATTTTGTAAGATGAAATCCAGTACTTTATTAATATGCTGCATATTGCAAAAATAGTTCAACATTATAGTGTCTGTTAATTTCTTTGTGTAGCATATAGAAAGACATATATAGGCAAAGTTAGGTTGGTGTTACAATTTTTAGTATTTCTTTTATCAGTATCAAGATCAGGAAGCGTATTATTAGTTGTTTTTTGTATAAATTACATGCATCTTTTAATTTTTTTGTTGAGATGGAGTCCTGCTGTGTTGCCCAGGTTGTAGTATAGTGGCACTATCTCAGCTCACTGCAACCTCCACCTCTTGGGTTCAGCAATTCTCCTGCTTCAGCCTCCTGAGTAGCTGGGATTACAGACATGCGCCACAGTACTTGGCTAATTTTTGTATTTTTAGTAGAGATGAGGCTTCACCATGTTGGTCAGGCTGGTCTGACCTCAGGTGATCCACCCACCTTGGCCTCTCACAGTGTTGGAATTACAGGCGTGAGCCACTGTGCCTGGTCACATAATTTTATTTATGTAACAACACTGCATACATAACTGCTATTCTGGTTGTATCAAGTCCCATTACTTTTTAAGTTGCCTCATTCCTCACAAATTAATTGTTAAATAAACAAACTAAAACACTTCTCTTATAGCATTAATTTATACAGCATGAATGAAA